GGCATCTGGCTAGGCTTTGTCGCTGCTGCGGCACCACCCAGTCCTGCTCTGGCACCGAGCATGGCGGGGAAAGCCCCAACAGCATGGCCAAAAGCACTCTCACAGTGGGTACTGGCAGCGCCCAGAGCAGCAAGCAAGTCCATGACAGATGTCACATGGCTCTGGCCCAGATCCTATGCCACCCACCTCTGGGGACATGCAGATCCCAAAGTGCCACCTCTGCAGGGAGCCAACAGGTAGGGACAAGAACCACTGACATTCAGAATGCAAGTAAGACCATTCTATACCCAAAACCTGGAAAATCCCACTCACACAACTGAGTATGTATAGGGATTTTTCACGGAGACTAATAGCACTGCCGGGTGCGCAGTTCCCCAAGCTGCTCTGTGTCAAGCGGAACCCCAGGTCTCTGGCTGCTCTCCTGCTTCCCTGGCTGTTTCTTTGAACTTGTTCTTCCTCCTCCTAGATTCCACCGAATCTCTCAAAGGCCTGTCCCCCAACAGCCTTTCTGCATCTTTTTCATTCATGTAACACCCCCTGCATGATTTATTTTCCTATCAAATCTGCAGTACTTGTGTAAGGCTGGGGAGGAGGCCACAAGACCACAACCACGTTGCACACAACTGCAGAGCTCTCCCCGCAGACACTAGCTGCGAGTCTGCAGTTAATCATCATGTAAGGAGGGCTCGCCAAACTCCCTGAAGGCTGTTATGCTCGTGGTCACTTCTTACTACAACATAAGGGCCACAGATTAAAATCAATCAAGGGAAGAGATGTAGGCGGCAAAATCTAGGGGGGGATCCCAAACACACAGCAAGCAGGTGTCTCCTGCCAGCAGAGTTCCAGATAGAGCCGACTCGTGTGGCTAATGACAGGTGCCCGACACAGAGTACTGCCAACCACAGAACCTCACCCTAGCCTTGGAGCCCACAGTCTTCACTGGGGCTCTGCCAGGGCATGGCTCGAGGCCCCCAGGTAGAAAAGGATGCTTCCGAGGCAGGACCCTCCAAGGGCTTCAATCTCATCACACAGTAGTTTAGGGAAAAGGTCAGACCTCTCTTTGGGGAAATGTTAAATCCTTTTTATTTTATTTATTTTTTTATTAAAAATATTTTTTAATGTTTTTTATTTATTTCTGAGAGAGAGAGACAGCGTGAGCAGGAGAGGGTCAGAGAGAGGGAGAGACAGAATCCGAAATAGGCTCCAGACTTTGAGCTAGCTGTCAGCACAGAGCCCGATGCGGGGCTCAAACCCACAAACGTAAGATCATGACCTGAGCTGAAGTCGGACACTTAACCAACTGAGCCACCCAGGTGCCCCTGTTAAATCCCTTACTACAACATTTGCTACCCACTCTCTTGAGCCCCAGATTCCTATTTCTAGTTGTCTTTTGGTATCTACACCAGTTTCTTCAAACTAAAATGAATGAAGTCAAACTCATCACAATTTCCCCAAACTATGATTTCCCTGTTCCTGTTAATAGTGCCAAATCTACTTTCCAATAAGGAACCGAGGCAGTTTATAAAACGACAATACAAGATATAAAATTAGAAGGAAATTGGGGCAAAGGAATAAAAAAAAGAGCCCAGAAAAAAATCAAATAGAAGATTGCTGTGGTGGCGTTAGCACACAGTGCACAGTGCCTGAACTTCCTGATCACTTACAGGAAGGCTGCACATTTATTTGGCTGGGAGTTTTTTTAATAGCCAGATATCCAAGTCCAAGAAGAAATAACAAGCAGATTCAAAATTCACAAAGTCCTTAAAAAAAGAAAGAAAATGATGGCCAGAAGGCACTGCTCTCCTTCCAGTCACCTCACGGTTCAAGACTTGGAATGTTTCCGTCACTGTCCTCCATATTCAGTTGTTCGTCAAATGATCAAGATGTTTCCTCCATTGTGCTGTTTGCTTTTTTGACCTCGCCTTTCTATGTATTTTCTCTCTCTAATCATTCAAGACTCACAAATTAATCTTTTTTAAATACAGCAATTTCCTGTGCAAAATCTACAGTGGTTCCTCCTCACTGCTAAATTTTTCTTTTTTAAACATTTTTTTTCTATGTACAAAGCAATATATGCTCATTACAGAAAACAAAGAAAAACAAGCAGAGAGATTAACACAAACACAGAAATCCTATAATCCACATTTAACTGGTATGGCAACCTTTTTTTTTTTTTTAAGCAATTCTTTTCTTTTTTTAATTTTATTTTTGAGAGAGTGAGAGACAGAAGGCGAATGGGGGAGGGGCAGAAAGAGAGAGGGAGACACAGAATCCGAAGCAGGCTCCAGGTTCCGACGCAGGGCTCGAACCCACGAACTATGAGATCATGACCTGAGTCAAAGAGCTGAACTGGGGGCGCCTGGGTGGCTTGGTCGGTTGGGCGTCCGACTTTCGCTTAGGTCATGATCTCGCGGTTCATGGGTTCGAGCCCCGCGTCGGGCTCTGTGCTGACAGCTCAGAGCCTGGAGTCTGTTTCAGATTCTGTGACTCCCTCCCTCTCTGACCTCCCCTGCTCATGCTGTCTCCCTCTCAGAAATAAATAAAACATTAAAAAAAAATTAAAAAAAAAAAAAAAAAAGAGCTGAACTGACTGAGCGACCCAGGCACCCCTCCCATTTTTAAATAGAGGTAAAATTTATGCGCATTGGGATTCAAACGTCTTACATACACAATTCCCTGATTACCCGACAAATGTTTATGTCCTGATCAACATGAAGAATATTTCTCCACAACCACAAGGCTTCCTATGTTCTCTCTCCCAGTCATGCTTTTTGTCAGCTATCTATGTAGCCAATATTTTCTCCTAGTCTGAGGCTGGTCTTTTCATTTTTAAAAATGCCTTTTAATCTGTAAATATTTTTTATTTTAATGAAATTCCATTTATTAATTTTTAGTCTGTAGTTAATATTTCTTGCATATTCTCTAAGAAATATTCCCTTATGCCAAGGTTGTTAAGAAATCCTCCTACCTTTTTCTTTTCATGAGCTTTATACTTTGAGCTTTACATTTAATCTATGATCCATCACAACCTGTAAAGGGATCTAAAAAAAAATATCTACATATTTAACTGTAACATAAGAAACATTTAACAATGTCCACTCTTACCACTTCTATTCAACCTTATGCAGGAAGTAGGAAAGAGAAATAAAATGCGTACAGAATACTAAGGCGGGGGGAGTATGTGCAGTGAAATGATAAACGAGTGTATGTGCAGAAAATCCCAAGAAATCGACATAAACTCTTCTGTGTTTCCTCAAGTTTGTATTTTTCAATATATATTCCTAACTGATGTTTTAATTTACTTTATGTACAAATTTCTTATCCTCATCTTCGTGCTCTACATCATGCTTCCAAACAGCTCTTCGACCTAACCTGTGCAGCTCTGAGCTTGCCATCTGCCAGGAAAACAAGGACCCAGAGCTTCCCACAGACACCTTCCCAGCCCCCACGTAGAGTCAGAGAAGTGTCCTTTGCTATCAACAAAGTCCCACGAACCCCAAGTTGTAAGGTCCCCTTTACGCTTTCTATGAAGCCTTTTACCTCTAACCAAATACCACCTCATTCCTCCACAAATCTCCCACCCCCCGCCTTTTTTTTCCTCTTACAATTAACCACACGATAAAGATGAAAAGGGGTATTAAGTAGTTTCTTGATCTGGTCTCTTCAGTCACTATTTAGCAAGCACAGATTATTCTACTAGGTGCCAGGGACAGACTGGAAACGCAAGCCCAGCAGAGGCTCAGTCACTGACTATATCCCAGTGGCTGAGTCACAAGCCCATGAACTCTTAGACAGTGGGGACTGGTTTCTCACTCAGCTTTGTATTCCCTGTCATAAAACACAACACCGTACACAAAGTAAGCCTCAAACAATTCAACAGTCATGCTAACCAAGGCTTAGGGATCAATACCCTGGCCAGTAGCAATTCCTAGCACCAGCGGGTCTATCAGGTGTCAGAAGCTCCTTGAGACCCATGAAAGAAATCTAAGAAGGCCTTTGTAGTCAGTTCAAGAGCATCTGTTACTTTGTTCATAGAGATAAACAGAATTTCTTTTTAAAGACTCAAGTAAGCCAAATTAACCCAACTAATTTTAAAAAGATATACAACCATGGTGGGATTAAGTATGTGCAGAGCTTTAGTGATTTTAAGGAAAATAACTGTGAATGAATAGAGGTTATCATATATATGTGTTCATACGAACACACACACCACACACACACATACACACATATAAACACTAAAGACTACACTTCTATAAAATACCAGCTGTGTGATATCAGTTTCTAAGGCAACCCTATGTAAGGTATATTCCTTTCTTTAAAAGAAGCTAACGCTGCCTTATGCCATAGATTCTGAGAAACAAGGCCAATGAGAACGTATAACCACCATGAAACTTGGAGTTATTAAAATTCAGCCAGTCTAAACTTCTCACAAGCCATCTGACATTTTTCTAGTGTGTGAATATTTACATTTTTTATGTTATGTTTTGAAGGAGATATTCCTAAGCTTCAAAAGAAACAAACTGAATGCCACTCAAACGTGTTTAATAAAGAAGACCTCTGGAGCATTACGGATATAAGAAGATGCAGAGAAGAAACGCAAGATGTGCATTCTGACTTGTGCGTCCTTCAAGGCGCGTCAACCTCCTCACTCCCGACATAGCTTCTGAGACACAGGTAACGTCAGTGCTGTCTGTCCCTCAACACTAGAGACAAATCCTTCATCCAACCAAAAATATTTACTGCACTGTGGACAGTATAAAATGCAGTGGGGTTGACAAAATACACAGCGCTTGCCCACAGGAAATCTTCCAAACTAGGGAGAAAGAGGTCACAGATGCACGCAAAAATATATGTGCAATCCCACACCATGATGACCGCTGGGGGGAAGGGGTGGCAGGTTGTGGCAGATACCACTGTGAAGGATACGGGGAAGCGCCTAATTAAGATGTGATTCAGGGTTCACTGAAGGCCTTTCTAAGGGAATGACACACGCTTACCAAGTCAGCCCATCAAAGTGCTGAAATCAGTATCTCCAGAAACAATACAGATGATGAGACTGCACGAGGTGCCAACTTCCTGAAGAATGATTTAAGGGAGCCAAAATGTAGGACCTCCAAGGAGTCCGTCAGTGCAGGCAGCAGGATGTAACAAAGCAAGGTGCCTACCATCACCAGGATCAGTCCTTGTAGCAAATTCGTGCTGAGTGAAGGCCGGAAACATTTTGAAACATAAAGCAGGTAAAAACGGTTAATTTCCCCTTACACGGCAGGACGTGAACAGAAGCCGCTTGGCGGTCGCTGTGGGGTTTGGGAGGCATGGCACATACCTTGGACGAGCCTGCAACAGGCGTGGAGTCGGGGGCATATTCCCAGGGGTCCCGACTCAGGATCTACAGTCTGGCCTGGGACCGTGTGCCAGGCGCCCCTCGAGGTTTTGATGCAGGTGGTACAAAGGTCACTGTCTCAAAAACCACCTTACATGACAATTCCCCCAGAGCAGGAGGCTCTACCGCGACTGAGAGGCTCTGTGCTCACACTCACCAAGCAAGCACAGATTTCACAAGGGCCTCCCGGAAGTGTGCGCTCATTGGCTCGCCCCATGCCTGATCCGTGTTATCTCCTGGGCTTGGAAGTAGGAGTCTGAGCAAACTGCCCAGAAGTGACATCAAAACAAGATAGGAAGAGAGACACCCTGCTGACACAGCTCTCTCTCCAGAGGCCAGGGAAACAGGCCAAGCAGAGGGAGGCAGTGAGACCAGAAGGAGACCAGCCCGAAAGCACATGGGGGAACAGTCCTGAAGGGAGAATGAAGAAATACAGACAGAGCGGAGGATAATAAAATTCACATTTCTTAAGCACTTTCCCTGGACCAGGCAGTACGGCACATGCTTCACGTATTTGTCTTATTTTTATCTTCAGAAAATCTTAAGTAGTATGATGTGGTTACATATCATATTATGCACAGAGAGGATACTGTATCACAGATGAAGACACAGAAGCCTGGATGGAAAGGAGCTTGTCTGAGGACACAGGACTGGGAAGCCAGATTCTGAACCCAGGACTCTCAGACACCAAGGCCCTAAACCTCCTGAGATTGGCAGGAGAGCAAAAAATGAGATGAGTGGGTACAGGCTGGCTACACAGAAAGATAAGGCACAGGCAAGCAGAAAGGGGCAAAGAAGAATGCTCTGTCAATATTAGAACTTTACACAGTGGCCTTTATGCTCAAGAGCCCGAGGTTTCCTGTGTGCTGAGTGGGGAAAGACCTGTAAAGAGGTAAAAGAAGGTAGAATGTTAAGATGCAATTTGGTTGGTGATGAATGATCCAGAAGGGCAGACACCCAGTTGCTCACCACAGCTACCGCGGGGTGCGGAGATTCTAGGGGACTTTCCACACTCCATCCCCAACATAAGCTATTTCCTAAGGTGAACAAATAATTCTTTTGTGAAGAGATAAAATAGGTAGTGTGTGGTTTGCTGTTGATGATGTTTCCTTTTACCGTGTGAATACTAAGAAGTGGCTGGCAGATTCATTCTCCCGGAATGAAGTCAAAGAAAACAAAAGTGACCAGAAGGCAGAAAGACACCTCCCCAGACTAAGGGAAACATACTCTTAAACTGCAAGAGCCATCACTCCCCTCCACCTTCCTCAACAATTCAGTCCACAGTCACCAGACAGGGCAGTCACTTAGCACAGGCTAAGTAAGGACAAAAGGGAGAGAGGCTCAAAAGGCAGTGAGGATGACTAGTGATTCGTCACATCCAAGGAAATTAATTAAACAATTAAATGAAACGAGGATAAGGAGAACTTAGCCTCTTACCTTTCAAAGAAACTCAGAAGTACAGAAAGGGAGAAAATTGGGCTGCATCCCCTAGTATTTAGTGAGGAATTAGAGACATCTGATTAAATTCATGTGTTTTAATATATACGTAAGTAAAAATAGAAACAAATATAAATACAGAAATAGGTATAAGCATAGAGGAAGAGCATACGTGTACCCCTGGCTCTGGGCTAAGGCATCTGGAAGCACTGTCCCCTCAATAGCAAGGATAATGTCTCATGCCCAGATCTTGTTTTCCAGGCACTGTTCTCCGCTAAAAGGAACCAGGGCTCCTTGTAGAAAGAGTGGATTCCTGGGCTGGGGTAGAGAAAATACAAGATGAGTCTGGAACAATTTACTGTACTTGAAAGTGAGAAAGAATGACAGGGACATCTCAAAAGGACACAGAACCAACCTCTAGGAGCTCCTTATGGTCAAATTTGGGCTGTCAAAACAAATAAGGCGAGTAACTGGTTAGAACTCACTGAACGAAAGTAAACTCCACGAATGAGTACATCTGAGAGAACTAGAAAGACCAACCAGACAGGGAGAGGGATAGAAGGGGCAGGTGGAGAGAGGAAGAAAAGAAAGAAGAGGGAGAAGGAAATAAATTAGTTGGCAGGGGGTATTTACAGTCTCAAAGTAACTCACAACAACATCCAGTACTTACTAATTACCAGGGAGGAAAGAGTAACTTCACAGTATAGGTATCTGGCAGACACCATCATAAACATAATGACCCACACCAACTGTATGTAATGATGTAAACCAAACTTGCAAACTACCTGATAAAACACAACGATGACGAATACTTCTCACAAAACAACACTTTTTTGATATTCCAAATTAAGAAACACAGGAGTGCCTAGTTGGCTCAGCTGGTAGACCATGTCACTCTTATTCTTGGGGTTGTGAGTTCGAGCCCCATCTTGGGTACAGAGAGTACTTAAAAAAAAAAAATAAACCACCACCAAACAAAGAAACAGTTTACCAAATTAAGACACATTATACAAAATCATTGGCTTACAATCTTCAAAAATGTCAAAGTCATGAAAGCCAAAAAAGACTAAGGAATTGTCCAGATTAAAGAAACAAGTGTTAACAAAGGAAAACAAAAACAAAAACCCCACAAACCAACAAGCCCAAACTAGAATCATCCCCATCCCCAACACAACCAGCAAACCAAGACTTAATTATAGTTTCAACCTATCCCAGGAATGTGACCTTTTAAAAATGAACCAGAAGTTTTCTGATAAGCATAAATGAGGTTATCTGCATGATAAAAATCCTGCTGATCTCTACCCTACACCCACCCCACCCCAAAAGAAGATATTCTGGCATGAAACAATCCTTTCTTTTCTTCAGCTAGTAACTCCATGCCTCTCCCTCCTTCCTAGAGAAAGCTCTCATTCTGTACGACTCTTGGGAGCATCTCCACTTGCTAGATAAAGACGATGCCCAGTCCATGAACTGCTGAATAAAGCCAGTTAGATCAGCTACATTTTGTTTTTTAATGCAAGAAAAAAAAATGTACAATGATTCTCGGAAGGACTGGTTTCATATAAAGGACAATATTGGCAACTGGCAAAATCTGAATGGAGTCTGCAGAATGAATGGTAGAACTATAACAATGTTAATGGCTTTTTTTTTTTTTTTATTTTGAGAGAGACAGAGAGAGCGTGAGCAGGGGAGGGCAGAGAGAGAGAGAGAGACAGACAGACAGACACAGAGAATCCCAACCAGGTTCCACATGGCCAGCTCACAGAGCCGACTTGGAGCTCGAACTCACAAAACTGTGAGATCAAGACCTGAGCCAAAAACAAGAGTCAGCCAACGGACTGAGCCACACAGCGGACTCCACAATGGTCACTTCTTGACTTTGATGGTTGTATTATAGTTACAAAGAAGAATGTACCTGACTGTAGGTAAAATATACGAAATATAACTCAGATGTGAATAAGCAGCAAGTTGGAAACTGAAACTCTATTCCTGGCTGGGGGGTCAGGGGTGGGGCACAGTTCTTATCCCAGCCATTCCCACTGACTCCTTGAATACATTTTTATCAGTCCTCTTAGACAAAGTGTTCTGATGTAGATCACAAAATTCACAGAGCAAGGCATCTATTACATGCTGATAAGAAGCACAAGTTACTTGCCAAAGTCAGGAATGAGACAGAGAGAGAGAACCTTACATCTCTCCCAGGTTTCAGAGAGGCTGACTTTAACACTGGTTAGAGTTCAGCCAGTGTTACCTAAAATCAGCCCTGACTGTGAAATCCTTCCTCCACAGCCCTGTATGTGGGTCTGGGTGTCCACTCTGCTGATCTGCAGAGACGGTACGGGGATAAATAAGAGTGCCGGTTACATCTCCTGACCCACACACTCAAGGGCCAGATGTAAGAACAACCGCTCCCATTCTAGCACGGTGGAGCCCGTGTGCTAACAGAGCCGCTCCTGCCGACCAAGCTGCCACCGTGGCCTAGGCAGCGAGATCAAAAGACAACTGTCCACATCTCCTCTTCTGAACCAAGAAATGCAAATTTGGAGGGGGGATGTAAAACCTCTGTCTTTTCACCTTTCCACAAGCTCTGTTATGTTCCATCAAAATCAAAATGGCTTAGACCTTTGAAGGTCATAATCACTACTCCTCCAAATGCTAAAGCTCTACATTCTTTTCTCTAAGGAAAACATCGATTCCATCTGTAGAAACCCACACCTATGGTGTGGAAACCCACTCTATGGATAGAGCAGAAGATGAGTTCTTAAACTTTACAGCAGAACATAATTTTCTCTTCCTCTTAATGGAGAATTAAAAAGTACAATTCTGTATAACCAGCACACAGATGGCCTGCAATCCCTAGATACATCCATTCGGAATACTAAAGAGCCAGGGATTCGTTCGTTAATGCTCTATGGCCTGACCAGGTATCCGTCTTCTGCCATCTATCAGGTTTTGGCTAAGGCCATGATCTCACAGTTTGTGGGTTCGAGGAGTGCACTGTGCAGAGCCTGCTTGGGTTTCTGTCTCCCCCCCCCCACCAAAATGAATAATGAAAATAAAATTCTTTCTAAAACTTAAAAATTGAACTTAATCAGTAGCAAGTCAGTGTCTCATCAATTGTTCAGAAGCTCAGAATTCCAGACTGATAATCTACTAAAGAGAATGAAAGTCTAAATAAAAAAAAAAATTTTTTTTTTAAAATAAGAAGAGAGAGGAAATGAAAGTCCAAATGAGCAAGTTAAGAAACAAAGAAATGGTCAAACGGATCCAGCGACCTCCCTTTCTCCTACATTCTCAGAGTCCCGTCTACACATAGTATACGGTCTGGATCCCACTGTTCTCAATATTCATCACGCAACATGCTTGCCTTTTAGGAGTTTAACTATATGCTCTTGATCTTTACAAAGCATCAAGACAACACTTCACCTGCATCATGTCTCTGTCTTCTGTGAAATCACAGCTAGAAACATAAGCCACTATGTCACACAACAGCAGAGCCCACAGAATGTTTTCTTCACGGACTACAATGCCAAGAAAAAGTCTGTCTCTGTAAACAAAGCAGGCCTTCTTTCCACAGACAATGAATACAATGTAATTCAATGGTATACAGAGAAAGGACTGGATCCTTGTTACTCTTAGCAGCCCGAAAACATCAACTCAGGAGCCTGGTACCTTCTAGTCTCTGCTCTTCTTAGATAGCTGCTAATGTTTT